TTTATTTATTTATTTATTTATTTATTTTTATTTGATCAGAGAGGGACAGAGTAAGAGAGAGAAAGTGAGAAAGCAAGCCGCCACGTCCAGGACTTGAACCATGGTCAGTCATATGGGTGTCCAGCACCATTAATCACCTTGCCACCTGCTGGTACCACTCTAGTTCAATTTTAAAATTAATTAATTAGTTCATTAATTTTAAAAGTAATCATAATAATTTGGGGGCCAGTTGTTGGCATGGTGATTAGGGTGCTGGACTCCCACATAGCTAACCATGGTTTGAGTTCCAGACCTGGTGGCTTGAAAATCAGGCCAGCATGTATGCAAAATCCCAGGAGGAGAATGGAGGAGAAGGGATTGTGGCATGGCCATCTCCCCTGGTGAGTGATCTCTCTCTTTCTCACTGTCTCTCTCTGTCTCTTTTCTCTCTGGTGAGCACATGGTCCTTATAGCAAAGACAATAATAATGATAATTTTGAAAATAGCTGCTGAAAATAATTTTGTCATGTAAAGGAGAATTGGCTTGCTTATGCTATGGACCAATAAGTTAATGTGCCACTGATTTCTTAGTAATATTTAAAAATGGAAAGTTTTCCAATATTTTTTTGGGGGGGGAGGTTTTATTTTTTGCTATAGGGTGCATGCACACGCCAGAAAGACAGAGAGAGACAGAGAGACAGAAAGCGAGAAATCACCCCCCAGGGAGGATGGCCATGCCACAATCCCTTCTCCTCCATTCTCCTCTCGGGATCTTGGGCACGCATGCACACGTGCCCGGCGTGAGTTTAAGCCACTGGGTCTGGGACTCAAACCGCAGTCGACTACATGGAAGTCCAGTGACATAGCCATTATGCTAACTGCTGGTCCCGTTTTTCAATTTTTAAAATCCTGATTTATTGATTTTTTGGAAAACAAAAATGAAAAGATCTGACAATAGTGAACCTGAGTGCCCTAAATAGGAAACAATCAGTTGGGGGAGGGGTTTATTCTATTACACTTGGCCTGAATCCCTTCTTTACATCACGTATGTCAACGGGATCAGATTCAAGGTTTGATTCCCCAGTCTGCATACCCAGATTGTTCCAGGTAGTCAGCTAAACTAAGAAAACTCCCCTGGGATCCAGTCCCTCCCGGTCCTAAGCTTCCTGCTTCCTTTGTGGAGAAACAAGAAGATACACCCATATTTCATTACTTTACTTAACACACATGTACTGATTGGCCTGCTTATGTGCCAAGCTCTGGAGACTGAAATGTGAATGGAACATGGATTCTTCAGAAAGCTCTTGATCTAGTTGTGAAGGTGACCCTGAGTATCCCAATTAAAAGATTATGAGCAACAGAGGGAGAAATTCCTGTCTGCCTGGAGAAGTTCTGGAAGGCAAGGAGGGGAAGCCCTGGTGAGGCAGATATGTGGTATAGAGACAGGCAGAAAAGGGTCAGAATCTTCGTCCTCCTACTTACCTGATCAATTCCTTTCTTAACCTTCCTGAATTGTTTTCTCCTTCTTTAAAAGATATTAATTATATTCACCTTTTGGGGTTGTTTTGAACAGTTATTTCATTCAACAAGATTCATTGAGTACTTTCTAGCACTGGTTGCTGTAAACAAATGTTTGTTGAAATAAAAACTCAGTCACTTGTGTCAAGCCTGACTAAATAGAGCAAGGGAAGGCCACAGAAGAGGTGTTTTCACATGCTAACATGTCTGATAACAAGAACTGTCACAGAAAGAACTCTGCCAGAATCACAGCCTTGCACAAAGACCACTGCCACCTGCCACAAGGACCATTTCTGCAAGGACATTTACCCAGAGACTGCCAGTCCATCTTCAAACTGATGCCACCTTTGTTATTGATCCTAGGAGCCAAGGATAAATTATCCCCAAACAACTGGTATAATGCGCCCCCCCCACACACACACACACACACACTCCTGTTCGTAGCTTTTGCCTTTTGAAATTGCTTGAGGATTGTAAGACCTCCATGAGCATGTTGGGGGCTACCTAAATATACTCAAACGGGGTTGCATGCCAGCTATGGTCCTCTAAGTTATGCCCCAAAATAAACTCATTTTGCTTTACCTAAAAAGGTAAAAAGTTTGCCTTGATACATGCTAGGCTCTGGAAGTAAAATAGTGAAGAAAAAGAAAGGTGGAATCCAGCAGGTGGCATGCTGATTAAGGAGACTGGATTCCCACATGGTCACTGAGGTTCCAGTTCCAGACCCAGTGGCTTGAAAATCACACCAGGCACATGTGCCTGAGGGAGGAGAAGGGATTGCGCTGTGGCCATCCCCGGGAGGGTGATTTCTCCCTTTCCTTCTCTGTATCTATCTGTGTCCTCTCTGACGATTGAACCCTCCCTATGGTAAAAACCTAAAAAAAAAGGAGGAAAAATAAACATGGCCCCTGCTCTCTCCTACAACTTACATTCTAGTAGTATTGAAGAAAGTAAAAATAGAACAAAGAATAAATCAGAAGCTAAGGGTTCTGAATGCAGAAAAAAAAAAAAACAGCTAAGCTGAAGGTTGTGCAGAAGTCACCTATGCAGAAGGAAATGGCAGCAGAATGTCAAAGTCAATACAATTTCATCTGCTTGTCTCATGGTAGCTACTCGGGTTAAAGTCACTAATAGCTAGGTTCTAAGCACTTTCCTTAGACTACTCCATTTAATCATAAGGACTTATTTTAAAATAAATATGTATTTCATTTTATTTTTTATTATTATTTTAATTTGCTATGGGCATTCACCAGAAGGACAGAAAGAGATGAGGGAGGGAGAAAGGGAGAAAGCAAGTCACCATATCTGCGACCCAAACTGGACACTCATGTGGGAACCCAGTACCTTAACCACCACGCCACCTGCTGGCTCCAATGATAAGAACTATTGACAATCATGACCTCCGTTCTTTTTTGGGGGGCGGGGGGCGGTTCGCTACAGCACTCGCCAGACAGAGAGGCCAGAGAGACAGAGAAAGCGAGAAATCACCCCCCAGAGGGGATGGCCACGCCGTAATCCCTTCTCCTCTCGAGATCTTGTCTTGGGCACGCACGCATACACGCCCGCCGTGTTTTAAGCCACCGGGTCCGGGACGCGAACCGCGGTCCAGTACATGGGAGTCCAGCGACATAGCCATTACACTAACTGCTGGTCCCATGACCTCCGTTCTTCAAGTGGAAACTGAGGCACACAGAGATTACAGAGATTTAGTAACGTGAACGAAGACATCTGACTCCACCAAAGGCTCCTCATTTGATGTACATGCCGCACAATGAATGGTGGCTATCATGGCATTTGTCAGACGGGAAAAAAGAAAAAAAAAAAAAAAAAAAGAGAAAAAAGTAGTAACGTGAACGAAGACATCTGACTCCACCAAAGGCTCATTTGATGTACATGCCACACAATGAATGGTGGCTATCATGGCATTTGTCAGACGGGAAAAAAGAAAAAAAAAAAAGAGAGAAAGGTTGTTTTACAGTGCTTTCAAGTTCTTTTAGTAGTAGCTTTAAAAGTAAAAAAAGAAACAGGGTTCAATACGTAAGAAAACAGTAACTCTCCCAAACGTTTTACATAAACATACATAAAAAGAGTAGCCGCGCTGAGAATGAGCCCCGTGTGGTTGGTGCGCGCAGGTACGCACTGCCTGTGTAACTAGTTAGGGCTGACGGATGACACCCCCGCCACACGCCGCTCAGCTACCCCAAGAGACCTTGGTTCGCTTCTTGGCGGATTAATTCGTGAAAAGCGAGGGCAGTCGACGTGCAGGCGCACGCGGCACTCTCTGCCCAAGGTCCGGGGACTTTCCCCTAGGCACAAATCGGGAACCAGTCCCCCGTACGTAGCCTAGGAAACAGGCCTTCAGCACAAGCTGTCGTAAGCGGCCGGAATCTGCCTATTTATTGGTCTGGAAAGAACGCTATTTTACGCTTAGGGTGAGGAAATTGATGCCTTGGCATTAAAAAACATTTCTGTAAGTAACTTATTCCTAATACTCTAGAGTTTCGGAGGCATACACTGTAAGGAAATTATTCCTAATACTCTAGAGTTTCGGAGGCATTATAGCTAATAGGATAGCTAGATAGATAAGAAATGAACTAACTAAAGAAAGTCAGACAAGGCCTTATGCAAATATACACTGGCTCCTCCCGTTGAGTGGGCGTGGCCTTTGCGGGAGGCTCAGAGCGGGACTCACGTGAGTGCGCGTGCGCACTGATACGCCAGGGCGCCGCCTAAACCCTACCGCCGGCCAGCAATGGCCGACGGCGTGTGGCTGTCGGGTTTACTGGCGCTGCTCCTTGTATCTGCGCTGCCGGTGGTCCTCGGAGACCGCCCCAGCCCTGATCTCCGGGCACACCCAGGTACCAGCAAGGGCTGCTGGAGGGAGTCTGGGACTGCCCACTAGTCCCAGACCTTAAGCTATCTGCCCTTCCTCTGCAGGGGACCAAGCCCAGGTCGGCCCTGGGGCCACGGAACCTCGGCGGCAGTCTCCGCCGAAGGACCAGCGCGAGCGGGCCCGGGGCGGGGCGCTGCCTTGGAGGGCGTTGTATACCGCAGCCATCGTCGCGTTTGTGCTGTACAAGTGTTTGCAGGTGCTGGACTACCAGGGGTTGGGGGAGCCCTGGGCCTGAATCTCCCGTGGGGGCGCTATGGTACCAAAAACAAGACACTGCTTCCTGTCCTTAAAATGAAGACGGTAGTTCTTGGCTTTCCAACAATAAGTAGTTATACTGAAGATCCGGCGAGGTAATACATACGTAGGGTGCGTGGTGAATTGTTAGTGACCACGTTTAATCCTCCCATAATCCAATGCTTGAGACCATCCAGAGCTAGTAACTGGTGAGTTGGGATTTGAACCCAGGTAACAACTTTACTACAAAAGTGTGGTTCCTGACGAGGTTCCAACCTTGGCACAAGTGGTCAATTGGAGCAGCCAGAGTTCAAGACACCAAGCAGTCTCATTTTCTCCTTGGGAATGAGGCCCTGAAATGTGAACTGACAGTAGTGCATTTGGGTTGGATTGAAACTTGAAATGGCAAGTGGTACCTCCCAGGGCTGTCTTTAACCTTGACCCTATCACTTACTTGCATTAGGAACTAGAGGGCAGAACTAATTCGGACACAGGAAACTAGAAGAGATAGCTAATAATGACTCCAAGAAGAGGTGACAGGCTGGGATGAGGAACTGAATCTCACCAGGAAATTAAGGGTAGATTGATAAATTCTATTCTTGGTTCCAAGTACTGTCTGGAAGGAATATAATTTAGCAGCGGTACCTATGAAAGAGACTTAGGCATTCCAGCTGACTATTATGTTCATTGTATAGTATGACAACCCATGTCCCAAATTAATGCCAGAAACAGGCATTGTGTTTCACCTGCTAATCAGAACAGCCCTGGATAATTTTACTTCTTTCTGGGCACTGCTTTCAGAGCATGACATGCTCCTTAAAGCACCCAGAGAAAACCATGTGAAATAAGCACAGACTGGAGACAAGATATTAAGCTAGAAGACACAGGGAAGGGAATGGGTATGTGACCAGTTTTCAAATTCCTGAGGGGCATCGTGTCGAGGAGATATTATTTAAGGCTCTAATTAGCACCATGTGTAAAAGATAAATGGAGGACAAATTTGAACTTGAGTATGTATGGATACTATCTAATGATCACTAAACTGGAGAGTTGCTCATTCCTGGAACTGTTTCAGCAGTGTGGGTGTCTTACACGTTGCTTCATGTCCTGGGTGAGGAGCTGACCTAGACTGAGTCTCTGAAGTAAAAACCCAATAGCTCTGTCTACCTCAGTCATGCTCCTCTCCTTACTGGCTTTGGAGATGGAGGTAATGAAGAGAACCTCGTCTGCAGTATTGCCCTTTTCTTCTTCCACAACAGGGGAAAGATGAGGCCGCAGTTCTCCAAGAGGAGGCAGGCAAGAAGGAATCAGCGCAGTCAGGTGGGTTTTATGGAAGTCTATTCTGTGCTTATGGGGAGGGGGGGCCCTTAGGGGACAGCAGAACTTAACCATTGCTGCCTTTTCTCCCTTACTTACAGAGCAACAACTGGCCCAGCTGACACAAGTGCTGGCCCAGACAGAGCAGCACCTGAACAGTTTGATGGCGCAGCTGGACCCTATCTTTGAGCGGTGAGAGCAGTGAGCCTGTGGATTTGTGGGAAGTTTGTGGCAGTTGGGAGGAATCAGAACACAGATTGGGCAACCCCTGAGTGAACATTTCTGCAGTGTGACTACTCTGGCTGGAGCACAGCGGGAGCTTCTGAACACAAATCTACAGACTATCCATCAGCTGATGCAAGACAGCAAGCCAGACAAGGGTGTAGAGGTTCCAGAACCAGGTAAATGGCCGGGTGGGAGGTGAGTTTGATGGATATGTAGACAAAGGACCTGCAAATAGAACATGCCTTATCTGTTCCCTCACAGAGGCCACCTTACTCTTTCCTGAAGACTTACGTATAGAGAAGGAAGCTGCTGACAGTGAGGCCTGTGAGGAGTCCATACACTGGAGTACAGAGACATGGAACCTGGCTACTTCCCGGAAAGTGGAGCAAGGGCTAAGGAGAAGATGCAGCAAGGCTGCGGCAAAGGGCCCCAGTCACGGGGTGGGGGCTCTGGGGGCGGTGCAGCTGAAGGTTTAATAAAGCAATTTGTCCTTGTGACTGGATGCTCCTGTGCGCTTGTTCTACCCCAGCTGGTTGTACACACATCCATACTAGGTGCCTAAGGCCAGTGAGGCCTTCTCGAAAAGCTTCCCTTATTTGGATAAAAAGAGGCTGCCTTCCAGTGTGAGAGAGAGAAGACAGAGGGAGCTCCAGTTCTGTACCTCATATTCCTGAGGTTACCAGCACGCCAGCCTTCAGGGCAGAGAAATACCCTTCCTTGTGCAAAGTTGAGACAGAAAGAACTTTGAAAAAAAAAAAAATCCAAAACTTTACTGAAATCCAGTGGGAAAATAAATTATAAAAACTATACATAACACAAAATAGCCACGATTATAAAGCTGCAACCTTGATAAATGACTGGCCAAAGGGCTTATCAATCCCAGATCCCTTCATGTGTGTTAGGGGCTGGTTCAGCCGAAGTGTAATTGGGTCAGACTCAGTTTCCTGATTCTGAAGAGCTGGTCAAATGACCTGTCATAGTTTGATCCTAGGCAAATACACAATGTCCCATGAAGGGTTCTGTGTTTTGTTTAGAGGATTCCTTTGTACTTCTGGCTCTGACCTATCCCTGAAGAATCTTGAGTTCTGGAATGTGTAGATTTCTTTAGTTCTTCTGGCTGCTGTGGAAAGACAGTAAAGTTCAGTAATGGCACGAGCACTCTATTCAGACAAAAATCACCTGAGGTTGAGGGTGGGTGGAGGTGTCTCAGACAGACATAGGACATGAGACGGGCTCAGAACTGTCTCCTGAGTTTATTGCCGTATATGGGCCTCATCATAGTACTCCTCCTGAGGGAAGACACAACTTACCTGATAGCCACAGTCAGACTGTGGTACCAGCGTGACAGTTCCTCTTGGTCTGTGGACATAAGCAATAGCTTCTCATGGGGGAAGGACAGCTAAGGGGAGAGACCATCGCTTAGTGTATGGCCCAGAAAGCTCCAGGCTAATGCTGACACTTCCTCTTTCCATGGAGGTAATTCAGGTATGAGATGAGAACCAGATACGAAGCCTGAGCCCTGGCTATCCTCTCAAGGTAGACAGCTCTGGGACCAGCAGTTAGCATAATGGCTATGTCGCTGGACTCCCATGTAGTCGACTGCAGTTCGAATCCTGGACCCGGTGGCTTATACTCACGCCAGACGCGTGTACATCCGTGCCCAAGATCCCGAGAGGAGGATGGAGGAGAAGGGATTGTGGCGTGGCCATCCCCACTGGGGAGTGATTTCTCACTTTCTGTCTGGCGAGCACACGTGCCCTATAGCAAAAACCTCCCCCCGCCCCAAAAAAAGGTAGATAGCTCTGTTCCAATGAAAAGGGACCCAAGCCAGTCCTAGTACTTACGCTGAGCAGTCCACCACAAGGGCCTCCTGAGTGGCCAAAGACCCTGCGGAGCTGACACTGCATCATGGGGTAGAGGGCCTTGCAGGCAAAGGTGCCACTCTGCAGCAGGTGCAATGGGGGCCGAGGCTTGGTCATGAGTAGCACATCAGAGAAGAGGAAGAACATGCGGGGCCGAGGCTCCCCTCGCGGAGGCACCACCAAGAGCCAGCCCTGGCGGAGGAACCAACGCCCTGGGAGCAGGAGACCCATTATTTTGGTGCAGCTCTAGGATCCATGGGACTAGAAGGAAGGGTAGGCTGAGCAAGTAAGACGGTTTGTGCTGGTTCTACAAAAAAGGGAAAAGGGATAAGAACGGGGCAGTTAAGGATGGGAGGGAGATATGCAGATTACCTGAGGTAAGCCCCTTTGCCCGGCGTCCACTGAGCAAAGCCTGGACACGCTGGAGGTGCTGGTCGTTCTTCTGTTTCTGACCAATGGCATAGACTCTCTGGGCAGTTTCACTTATCAGCCGAGCAGCCCCTGAAACAACATCCCCTACCTCACTCCCAATACAGTTTTTACTTTGGGTGACTGGAGGTGGTGGAAGGCTATTCTGCAAGGGACCAGAGTGGGGGGCCTGACTTTGTGAAGAGTGGGCAGGACATTATATACCACCTATCAGTGGAAGACAGGAACATACTACACCTTGTTGGAGGTCAGAACCAGAAAGGGATACAGGAGAGGGAGCCTTCTGCCTGGTTGCAGAGGAATAAGAACCTACGTGTGAGCTGTTGGTAGTCAGGGCTGTTGGGAGCTGTGTTTTCAGCCAAAGCCACAACAAGGTTCTCATACCTGGAAATGGACAGTTGGAAGTCTCTGAGGGGGAAGTAGAGGTAGGTAAAATTCCTTCTGCCTGACATATCACCCCTGCACCAACTTTAGTAGCAAGGCCAGGGAAGATCTGCATCTGACTGGTGAACCCTTCCTTCATCTGGGACTCAGAACCTGGCTCACATAGCCCTCTTCCATTCAACAATGAAGGGTGAATGCAGACGGACCACAGTTTTAGAGACCAGGTTTCAAGATGAAAGTTAATAACCTAAGGGAGGGGGGGGGCGCAGGTGGCATGGTGGCTAAAGGCACCGAGACTTCCACATGGTCGACTGCGGTTTGAGTCCTGGATCTAGCAGCTTGCTTTCTCACTTTCTCCCTCTCCCTGGTCAAATTTAAATAAATAAATAAAGTTAAATAATTCTTTAAAAAATAACCTAAGGAGGATGCTTCAGACAACCTGACTATAAGCCCTTAACCCATCCACAGGGACATATTCTAAACTAGGCTGGCCCCTTAAACTTTTCCAGGTACTCGGTCTCAGGCCCTCCTCCCTTCAATGTAGAATTCCACAGTCCCAACTGAGGTCTTGCAGCTGCAGCCCCTGGGTACTCCAGTGGGTCCACATTTACCCTTGGAGCAATGTGGCCCAGGGACCAGGCCAGGGGTTGAAATAGACTCAGAGAGAGAAAATGGCCCCAGTCAAGAGTTCACTCACTGCTGGAGCCGCTGCAGAGGCAGAGGGAGCAAGTCCTGGAGCTGAAGGCCCCCAAACTCAGGGCGGCCTTCCTGAAGCCTCACAAACCTCCGGAAACGTTTGTTTTTCTTTAGCTGCTCCTGGTGTGAGGGGCAAAGGGTTGGCAACAGGGAGAAAAGTCACTTCTCACGTTGCATTCATCTGTGCACACGTCCCCGGCCTTTGGTGAGGTGTGCTCCTGAGAGAAACCCTGTCTCCTTACAGGTACTTGGCATAGATGTGGGCACCCACAGAGCTCTAAAAATGCAGAAACTATGAATAAAGCTTGGGCCTCCAGAAGAAGAGAAGCTGTAAGGGGCCAGAGGAAGCGACAATGGATTTTAAGGCATCTCTTGGTTACCTGTAGGGTGGTCCGGGATCTCTCTGCATTGGCAGCAAACAGGGTGTAGAGCTCCAGATGGGGGCAGAAACCCTCCAGCCCCTGTCCCCAGTACCCTCCTTCCAGGAAAGGAAGCAGCTCTCTGTGTGGACCAGAACAATAAAAAGAGCACCCCAAGAATCAAGCACGCTCGTGTATCCTCATAGCCCTGCCCTGAAGGTAGGGCTATTACCCCATTTTACAGACACAGAAATGGGCAGGTTAAGGTACTGGGCCAAGGTCACCGGGGAGGTCATTGGCAGACTCTCCGTATAAACCTGAGTCTCTCCTTCCAAGCACTGCCAGAGGCCCGGGCTCTCCTTCCTTCCCTCTCCCTGCGCCCCTAACACTCACAGGCTGGCGCCGTAGATGAGCTCCCACGACCCAAACAGGGCCTGGCGCTCTGGTGGTCGCAGAGTCCCCTTGGCCTTCAGGATCCCCAAGAAGTACTGCAGAAAGAGAGAAGAGTGGTGTCCTACTCTTAAGGAAGAGAAGGCTACCGCCAAGGCGCACTCAAAGACTGTGGAAATGTGCCCACGCTCCCTGCATGCAGGCGGGCAGCCAAGACCCAACTCCGGGTCACAGACTTCCCAGAGACGCTCCCACACCCTGGGCTTCCCGCCCTACACGGGGAGGGTGCGACCAGCTCGCACCGTGGCCACTAGCCCCAGCTGTTCCTGGTAGCGCCGCTCGGTCTCCAGCAGCTCCCGGGCGGTACAGGCACGTTTCCGCTCCCAACGTGCTCGCTGCTCTAGCACCGGGCACCGCGCACGGGGGCCGGGGCTCTCCATGCTGGGATGAGTGGTCAACACCTCCCGCCGCAGCCCGCGAGAGATTCAAATTCCAACCGCTCAGGAGGCGGGCCCGGAGGAAGGCGAGCACTGGGCACTGAGCATGCGCGGCGGTCAGCCGGCCACGGCGCGGGTCTCCGCCTCAACACCGGGTAGTGCTAAGGCGGTGCAGTAAGTACGCGGTGCTTGGCCGGACCACGCCAAATGGGGCGAGCCTGTGGCCTTACTCTGAGTGGCACTAAGTTGGGGCAGCAGCCCAAACTTTGATTCAGAAGGTTAGGGGTGCAGACGCTGGCAGGGCCTCATCTGTCGAATTGGGACGGGTGCAATAATCCTGGTACATACTCTGTCCAGGACTCATGCCAGACCCCAGGGGTCTGTGCTTTAACTATTTCCAGTCACAGACCACAAGGTTTAAATTGTTGGGCCCATGGGCAAAAGTTAGTAGGTTTTAAAGTCCTAGCCCAGTTTCTCATTTCATATTGATCCAAAACCTGACAGCCCAGCTTCTGGTCAGCAGGTGTCAATAACTAATGTGCTTTAGAATTGCTGTAATTCTGGCCAAAGGCAAAGCGTGGCATTGATTAGTCTGTGCTGTCTAATAAAAACTAAAATGGACCAGATTTTCCATATTTAGGCTTTTGAAAAACTGGCAGTAGCCCTGAAGCATAAATTGGCAGTGCCATCTTAATAGTATGTGTCAAAAATCTGAAACTGTGCCTACTTTCTAGACCTTGCAAGTCCATGTCTAGGAATGCATTCTAAAGAATTAGTTATGTGGACAATATACAAAAGTACTTTAAAAGTTTATGAGACAAATGGAATTAAGGTACAAGCAAAAAAAAAAAAGGTGAAATCCATAGGTTTTTTCCAACGCACAGTTCCACGCACTTTTTGAAGACACTGCACATATGTATAGTCATGTGTTGCATATGACATTTCAGTCACCAACAAATGGCATATACTACAGTGGTCTCAAGATTAAAATAGAGCTGAAAAAGTCCTATTTTCTAGTGATAGCGACATCATAGCCTAATGTCTTAGTGCAAGGCATTCCTCATGTTTGTGGTGAAGCCCATGTATAAACAAGCTTGTGCTATCAGCTATAGAAAAATATGGCATATGGGGATAGCAGACGGGGTAATGATTACATCAATGGACTCCCATGTAGTCGACTGCCTTTCAAGTCCCAGACCCAGTGGCTTAAAACTCAGGCAGGGCACGTGTGTGTGCATGCCCAAAATCCCTACAGAAGAATGGAGGAGAAGGGATTATGGCATGGCCATCCTCCCTGGAGGGTGATTTCCTTCCCTGTCTCTTTGTCTCTCTTGTGAGCACATGTGCCCTATAGCAAAAATCTTTCTACAAACAAAGAAAATAAAAGAAAAATAAAGCATATACAATGATGTACAGTACATGGTACTTGATAATGATAATAAACAACTATGTTACTTATTTATATATTTATTATATTATACTTTTATTATTTTAGTTGTACTTACGAAAAAAAAGTTTCCTGGGGCCAGTAGATGGCATAGTGGTTGGGTCAGTGAACTCCCACATGGCTGACAACAGTTCAAGTCCTTGAACAATGGCTTGAAACTCACACCAGGCATGTGTGCATGCGTGCCCAAAATCCTAGGAGAAGAATGGAGGAGAAGGGATTGTGGCATGGCCATTCCTTTTGGGGGGGGTGATTTCTTACTTTCCTACTCATTGTCTTTGTCCCTATCTCTCTTTCTCTCTAGCAACCACATGCACCCTAAAGAAAAAAAAAACACTTTTAAAAAAATGTGTTATTACAAATGAGTGAAAAAGTTTTAAAAAAATTAAAGTTTTAGGGGGGCCGGCAGGTAACATGGTGGTTAAGGGCCCTGGACTACCACATGGCCAACCATGGTTCAAGTCCTAGATCTGGCAGCTTGCTTTCTCATTTTCTCTCTCTCTCTCTGTCCCTCTCTGGTAAAATTAAATAAGATAAAGTCAAATTTATTTTATTTCATTTTACTTATTATATTTTAATTTGAACAGAGAGAGAGAAGGAAAGTGAGAAAGCAAGCCACTAGGTCTGGGAATTAAACTGTGGTCAGCCAGGTGTGAGTCCAACACCTTAGCCACATGCTACCTGCTGGTCTCCCAAAATGAAAATGTATAAAGTAAAAAAGTTAAGTCCATCGATTGCCTGGCGGTTAAGACACTTGATCCCACAGGGCTGACTGTATGTGTGTGTCAAGTCTGAGACCTAGAGACTTTCAAAACAGGACAGGTGAAACCAGCAGATGGCATAATGGTTATGTTGCTGGACTCTCACATGGTCAACCTCAGTTTGGCCATGGACCCAGGGGCTTGAAACTCACGCTGGGTGCTTGTGTGTGTGTGTGTGTGTGTGTGTGTGTGCTCAAAATTCCAGGAGGAGAATGGAAAGTTTGCAGTGTGGCCATTCCCCACAGGGGGTGATTTCTCACTTTTTGTCTCTCTCTGTCTCTCCAGCGAGTGCACGTGCTCTATAGCAAACATCTCTCTTAAAAAAAAAAAAAAAATGAAAACATGACAGGCATGGATGTCTGTGTGCCCAAAATTCTGAGAGGAGAATGGCGGAGAAGGAATTGTGGCATGGCCATCCCCTCTAGGAAGTGATTTCTCACTTTCCCTCTCTCTAACAACTGCAAATAATGTAAAATAAACAAACAAAAGAATGTATACCGCCTTAAGTGATCTCTGTCATCAAGTAATGGCCAACTGTGTACCCGGATGTCCAGCACAATGTTGTTTTTAACAACAGAGAACTGAAAAATACCTGTATATTCAGGGTTAGACAATTCATTAGGAAAAGTATGGTACAGTCATTTGAAGGAATAATATGAAAACATTAAAAATGATGTTGTAGGATCAGCAGACGATGTAATGGTTACGTTACTGGACTCCCACGTAGTCAACTGCGGTTCAAGTTCCAGGCCCAGCAGCTTAAAACTCACTTCAGGTGCATGTGCGTGCATGCCCCAAATCCCAAGAGGAGCATGGAGGGAGAAGGGATTGTGCTATCACCACCCTCTCTGGGGGGGTGATTTCTCTCTGTCTCTCTGTTTCTCTCTGACTCTACAGTGAGCTCACACACCCTAGAGCAAAAACCTTTTTCAAAAAAAAAAAAAAGCCATCAATATGAGAAAATACACATAACGAGTATATTGCTGAGAGAAAAATGAAAGCTACAAGGCTATTTGTATTAAATCATCTCCTGTGTGTAAAATATGTAGACAGCTGGTAGAACAGAGGACTATAAAATATATATAAAAGGTTGAAAGTTAAACAATCAAAAGTTAATTGTGGGAGCTGGGAGGTGGCGTGGTGGTTAAGGGTGCTGGACTCTTACATGGCTGACTGCAATTTGAGTCCCAGACCCGGTGACTTGCCTTCTCTCACTTTCCCTCTCTCTCTCTCTTGCTCTCTGTCCCTCTCTGGTCAAATTCAAACACAAGTAAATGAATGGATTAAATTAAGTAAAATAATTCTTTAAAAATAAAGTTAATTGTGAGGACCACCAGGTGGTATGATGGTTAAAGACACTGGACTCCCACATGGTGACCACAGTTTGGGTCCCAGACGTGGCAGCTTGCTTTCTCTCTGTCTCTCTCTCTGGTGAGCACACATGCCTTATAGCAAAGAAAACAATAAACAAATCATTCTTTTAAAAAATGTTAATTGCGGGGCTGACCCCATGGCTCAGCAGTTAGGTGCTGTGCAGAGAAAGCCACGTCCTATGTGGCTGACCATGGTTCAGCCCACTGGCTTCATGCCAGACTCACATGCTTGTGTCCAGGATCCTGATGGGATGGAGAAATAGAGAAAAAGCGTTGCAGCATGACCAGGCCCTTTTAGGGGATGCTCATTCTCTCTTTCTCACACGTGAAAGCACCTGCCCTTGTGTACATACATGTGCTTTCTATCATGAATAACAATAAAGTTTTAGGGCCAGCAGGTGGCGTAATAGTTAAGGCGCCAGACTCCCACATGGCTGACCATAGTTTAAGTCTCGGACCCAGTGGTTTGAAACTCATGCTGGGCGCATGTACGTGTGTACCCAAAATCCAAAGAGGATAATGAAGTTAAAGGGCTTGCAGCATGCCCATCACCCTTAAGGGGGTGATTTCTCACTTTCTGACTCTCTGTCTCTGTCTCTTTGGAGAGCACACGTGCCCTATAGCAAAAAACTCTCAAAAAATAGATAAATAAAATAAAGTTTTGGGGGACCAGCAGGTGGCATGGTGGTTAAGGGAGCTGGACTCCCACATGGCAGACCCTGGTCTGAGTCCTAGACCTGGCGACTTCCTTTCTCACTTTCTCTCTCTTTCTCACTCTGTTCTTCTCTGGCTAAGTAAAAGTATATAAACAAATAAATAAAGTTAAATAAAATAATTCATAAAAAAAGTTTTGGGTCTTTTTGTTTTGTTTTAGCTAGAGAGTGCATGTGCTTACCAGAGAGAGACAGAATCACAGAGAGAGGGGGAGAGCAAAAAGCACCCTCCATGGGGAATGGTCACATCGCAATCCGTTCTCCTTTGTCTCCTCTTGGGATTTTGGACATACATGCAAATGGCCAGTGTGTTTTTCCAAGTTGTTGGGTCTGGGACTCAACTATGAAGTCGGCCATGTGGAATCTGGATGTCCCAACTACCAGGCAACAAAGCTAGCCCCCAAAAACAAACTTAAAAAATAATAATAATAATTATTATTATTTGAAGAGAGATTTTTTGCTATAGTGAACATGCACTTGCTGGTTTTATCCCTGGTTGATGGGATTGAAGATTATTCATTCAACAAATATGGGGTTTTTTTCTTTTTTTGCTATAGGGTACGTGCACTCGCCAGAAAGACAGAGAGACAGAAAGCGAGAAATCGCCCCCCAGGGGGGATGGCCACGCCGCAATTCCTTCTCTATTCTCTCGGGATCTTGGGCACACACACACACACACGCACCCGGTGTGAGTTTTAAGCCACCGGGTCCGGGACTCGAACCGTAATGGACTACATGGGAGTC